GTCACTAAAAGGAAGAGAAAATAACCAACGAAACTGAATCAAAAGTAACTGATGGACATAAAGATATCACACTACAATATTAGGCGCGTTAATAACCCACAACAAGGCGCATTAATAGCCCATAGTTCGCTACCCTGTGTGTGTTCATTGCTTTGGGCTGGACACAGTTCGGTCAGGTTATCCCTTCCTACTCTTCAAAGGTGCTCACTGTAGGGCACGACACCGTTCCTGGCAAAACGAGCCAAAGGCTGCGTCATACTTCTCCAGGTCCTGTTTATTTTTCCTGAATATTTGCCTTCTGGTCATTCTATTGAAGCTATTCTCTTTGTCCCCCTTTAGATTAATGAGATAATTACAAATGCGAATACATTACACACCTTCATAAGCCTTAGAGAGGCCTCTTCCGTGCACGAAGATATGACGTCAGTCAGTCACGATATTAGTGACGCATGACTCCCACGCCTACTATTGCGAGAATAGCGTAATTTTACTTTCTTTGTTAGTTGGAGGGACTCACTTCGTCTATGACGCGTAAAGGTAGCGTCCCACCTTTCTTGTACTTTTCACGTTTTGTTACATCAGACGCATACGATTTGATACGTAATGCCAGTTTTATCGAAACCTTTCTGAATAGCTTGGAATTTCGGTTTGAAGTAGCCGACCCTGCGAGAGTAATCTTATTTGGTTCCCTGCTCAACAGTATGAGAGTAATATATCTTATTTACTTTGCCTTTTCCAACCTGTGTGTTCTGTAATGTTTGCATCACACTAATGTGTCAAAATATGTGCGTAATAAATGTTACAAAAGCTTGAAACACTTCGTTGGACAAAAATATATGCGAGCATAAAGCTATGATCTCAAGAATTCAACGAAACTTTGTTCTATGGCTTTGATTCCCTCCCTGTGGTGTTCACCATAGTTGATCTTTTCGCGGCGTGTGTTAGCTTTGATGATGGGAGCATCACATCATCCATGTTACGCACTGGATCAAACTTCAGACAACCAGCTTCTCGGTAACAGGCCCTTGCCGCTGGGGTGATCACAAACGTTCTTTTATTCCCACCAGTAGAGGTGGGAACGATCATTATAACATTCAGCAAGCCTTAAGCGCGCTGCCAGGCTTTTTTGTGCGATAGGGCTGTTTATGCGTGCATGCGTTTGTGTGTTTTTTATCCCTTAGCACATTCAGTTGGTTTTGACATGCTGGAATATCTCTCAGACTAATGACACATAATAACCACGCATGTATGTGGAGTGTCAGCCGATGTCAAATAGAAATACAAATACGAGAAGACGGTGGTCGTGACTGCAGGGAGGAAGCATAATAGCGTTAGGTAGTGCTGTTACAAAGCGTGGACAGCGCATTTGGACTCGAAAATAATGAATACTGATATCCTCATCATGTCTTGACGGTGTGTGACACGTCACGCTATGGTGCTACGGTTGTAATACCCAGTGCTATCTTTAGATGCAACTTTTCCCGAAGTTTCACTTGAAAATGTTTTCGAAATATGCCTGAAAGGTGGGAGACTCCCTTTAAATATCAAGCGCAGTTGCCTCTTGCTCCGCCTGATGAATTTGACAAAGCTGACCATCGCAGTGCTGGCTCCAGTGAGCAGAGACGTAGAGTTCATATACGTATACGGCCTGAGCGGCGGTTTGGCAGCTTGAGCATGCGTCTTGTCTGTGATATGCTGCCATCGTTGGGAAGCGTGAGACATGCAGACTGACATTGGGAAGTTTTTCATGCTCTCAATTTGCGTTTTAGCACTGCATGCCCCACAATTTCAGCATCGCGTTGACCATGGACGTGCACCTGCTGTTGTGTACTTAGTTTCCTAATAATCTGCATGGCCCAAACTGAGCCCCGTGCTTTTACATGGACACAAATCATGCACTTCTGGGCCAATTTCGCAGTGACGCAGCCACTGGTTTTGGCGGCACCTGAGTTTTGGTATATTTTTGTGTCATTTTCTAAAGGGAGCACCGAGCACGCCATTCCGAACACTTTCATCGAAGGTCACCGACTACAATGGTAGAATGATTTCCAGAAGACCAGAAGACCACGACGCAATCAGAATACCACACAATTAGGTTCAAGCTGTAAAGGAAGCAGCAGATCATTTGCAAATGATCATATTCATGACCTTGACATTTGTAATGCATACATGTCTTCCTCTCGAGACTGAGGCGACCGTAAATTTAGGCACCATTTGCGCAGGGTACGGCGCTTATGACGTAAAGCTAAAGAAAATAAAAAACGGCGGAGAAATCCGTAAGTATGGATGCAACAGAAGTGTGAACGTGCTCACCTACCAGTCATCCCAGCCTGCGCATTGCTATCCAGACGCTGGGGCTCTCTCCTCGCGTGTTATCGGCGATAATTCCGCTGCAATCCTCGTGAAACACGCAGTCATTTGCTGCAGGCGGTGAAATTACAAATGACACGACGGAGGGCGCGTAACCCAATCGAATGCACGAAGTATTGGCTGAGTGCTTTGACAAATGTAGTGATTGATGTCATGCTGTTTTTGTCCAGTGTCGCGAATTGTTCAAAACTACTGAGGTTTCCTACAGTAATTGGCAATCAGCCTGGTCCGTGCAGGGTGATCTGGAGATGGGCATGGCTATACATTATGGACAAATGATATAATGGATAAAAGAATATAAATTTCTGTGCTCCATAGGCAGACATTGGAACACCTTAGCTCCTAGCTCATGTGGTTTAACGTGATCGTTCATTGACCTTCGGTGAAAATTATAGACACACCATTAGATGAGTAAGCCGCCTGTACAATGTTGAGATGCTTGAGGTGAGTATGGTCTAATCAGCTTCTTTAACACTTGTCCGGATTCACCGTTTTTCATAACGTGGACTGAACATAGGATACGACCCATTGGCGTTTCCAAACTAATAAAAGCAGAACTTAGCAAGCCACACTGATGGGGTCTGCTTTAGCGACACCTAACGATTAGCACTCGTTTTTATGTTATGAGGTTAACATGTCATGTTATCACCACATTATGCCAGGTCAAAGGACAAATTTCCAGAAAATCGCACTTTTCAGCTTTACACAACACCACACATACGAAACCATGTCTTGAAGTGACACAGACCTTAAATAGTCGTGTTTCTTGCTCAATTTTTGATTCAATGGTGTCTATTTTTATGCGTCTTGGGCACACATGTCTGGTATGTGGCTCCGTCAGCGTACCAGAGACGGCCGCCGCACGCGTTCTGCGGCATAGTCGGTTGCTGCCAGCCGCCCTCGCCAGACGTGGGTCGCAGTGCGGTGCTCCTCAAAAACCGACGCTGCTCCGAAACCAGAAAAGCTATGAGTACATTTTTAGAGTCCAAATACGCAAATGGACGCTTCAAAAGGAACTGGAAATTCGGATGCCACTGCACAGCATTAAACAAACAAACACAAAAGCAAACTGTCTGTAAATAAGCTGTCTCATTTTAGTCCACATTGAGGCGTAGTTTTATGAACGAAAGACTTGGATGCTTGCCTCCACTCACTTAACAGTTTCAGAGCTAGTGCATTCCTGGTCATGGTTGGCGCGCTAATGACATTTACACGGCTTTATAAGCCTACTTCCGCCTACTTCACAGCTTACTGAGGCCAGCGATAATTAGCCATGGTTCAGAGGATAGCTAGCAATATATCAATGTTTTAAATGTTGATGATGCTTTTGCAAATGCGGCAAGAAAAGATTCTTCAGAGATGAAGTCAACTATTGCGATTGCGGTTTGCGGTTCCACAATCATCGATTGCCTTCAGATCACTGTCTGATTTCGCTATTCTCGCAACGGAAGATATGATTTTTCAATTCGAACGCGGATGATGCAATATATATATGTAATATCTCAGGATGCAATGCCGTGACATTTCATTTGCATTGCACTTTTTGTTTAAGTCCACAACAGCTGCCTGGCTGCATTTTTACTCCCGGAAATTGCACCCAATCAATAAATGTTGTGTCATCCAACATTCTCCACCCAAGATTGCAATTAGGCCCTGCGGCGTTTTGACCTGCCACAGGGCCACAGGCGACGACGAGACATATCCAACATCGAATCCTGAGGGAGCAATTTACAATTCCACTCCAATCTACTGAACACCGGGCCTAGATTGGAATAACTTAGTTTTTCCCCGTCTTGGGGTCAGTGGTGCCGTTGTACGCCTGGCAGACACGCCAGTGGGCAGCGAGCCGGTGCACTGATGCATTGCCACAGTGTCCAAAAGTGACATTACGTAATTCGTTCATGGACATATTATAGTTGTAAAAGCCACATCTGCCCCATGGTGTCGTCAGGCGAGAACACACAGCCCACGCCTGTACCAGCCCTCACACCCAGACATGTCACTAAGTGGATGACTTGGTTTGTCCATCCTCTTCTCAAGATGGCTCCAGAACCAAAAAACACAATGTTAACGCCACCGCCAATGCCAACGCCATTCTCCTGACGAGAATGCTAACGCCCGCCTACCGACTACGACCCAGCACGGCCGAGCACGCCCCGTTTTGGCGCGTGACATGGCGTGGGTACGATGGTCCGCGCCAACCTCCAAACCGAGAGCTTATTAATCGCCGACTCTGTTACGGCAGAGCCGCCTGCACCCGTCATTGACCTGTTTAGAGGATTCCCGGAAGAGGTCGGTTGGCGGGAACCGTATTGACTTTTATAAGCCGAGCTCAGCACACGGCTAGAGCCGCCCCATTCTGGTGAGCGCCCGGTGAGAGCGGGTGAGAGCCAAGCCCGGCGGCCAAGAGGGCGGTGGTGGGGGGGGGGGGGGGGGGCAGGGGGCTGATGGCAGTGCCACGGAGGCGAGAACTCCCCCGCAGTGTGATAGATGGGCTACTTCTTCTCAAGCACTCCACAAAACCGTCCAGCGCTTTGAGCCCCAAGTGCACGTGGCGGGCGCAGCGGCTACTCACAGCGAGCGAAACGAGTGGTACGGGTGGTGCGGCGCGCGGCGCAGCGGCTACTCACAGTGAGCGAACCGAGTGGTGCGAGTGGTGCGACCTCAGCGAGAAGTGCGACGGCTGCTCCTGGCTCGGGTACGACTCGGACGAGTTGAGCGACGATATGGAGGTGTGCGCAGCGGCAGGTGCGAGGTGGAGGCCGAGCGCGAGGTGGCCGGCGGTTCCGACTCGCCCGACTCCATGCGCGTGAGCACGGACTGCGAGCCGCCGCGCGAGCCGCGCGAGCGCGGTGCGGCGCAGCCGGCGCCGGCGCGCCCCCAGCGGCCGTGGGAGCCGGCGCGGTTGCACGGCCGGCCCCGGCGGCAGGCGGCCGAGCTGGACGGCGCTTGCCGACCGGCGCCGGCGACGGGGCGCCGGCCGGTACGACCCCATCGGCACCGTCATCGACGACACGAACGTCTGCGGCTGCGGCGAGCGGCGAGTCGGTGGAGGGAGAGCCCATGCGCTGAGCCCGCGAGCCGAAGCCGTTGGT